GAGAGGCTGGGATTTTGTTTTACTGGAGCTGGGGCGGGGGTCTGTGTGCTTGGGGTCCTGGCGCGATCTCCAAGGATGAAACTGGTTTAATTTTTTTCAAAAATGGTAATACTTGGAATGGAATGTACCAGTCAAAATGGAGGATCAGTATGAAGTACACGAGGTGAATTGGACCAGTATATCTCAAGCAGCTGTTTAATTGGTTGTTGCCTCTGAGAGAGACATACCCTTATCCCTTCCTCTCAGCATGGCAAGTGACACCAGTTCAAACTCCAGGCCTCGTTTTACAGAAAATTAAGCTTAGAGGAATCTCAAGACTGACATTGTCAGCGCCGGTGGATGGAAACAGGGAGCAAAAACATACACGTCCCAGCCAGGGAGCCGTAGCAAGCCTAGAACTTGAAGGAGGGGTCCTCAGCTTTGTCTTCATGTTGACTTTGAGTCTTCGGACCTGGTCCATAGCCTGAGGGGGGAACCCGTTGCTGCAGAGAGCTGTGAAGACTGAGTCATTAAGTGTATTTAAGACCGAGATAGGTTCTTTATTAGTAAAGGGATCAAAAGTTACAAGGGAGAAGGCAGGAGAATGGGGTTGAGAAACCAATCAGCCATGACTGAATGTGGACCAGACTCATTGAGCCGAATGGCCTAATTCTGCTCCTATATCTTATAGTTCTGTGGAAAAGGATTTAATTGGCAGAGAGCTGAGGGCTCTGTATATAGGCCTAAGGATGCAGGATTGGGCCAAAGCAATGCAGGGACCACTGTTAATCCACTCAGCCCCTCAGCAAATTCCCATAAACCTGGATGCTGGCCTCTCCTGATGAGGCACATAGTGCCATCTCTCTACCATTAGGTTATGAGTTTTGATGTAGAGGTGCTGGTGTTGGACTGGGATGGACAAAGTCAGAAGCCTTTTTCTGAAGAAGGGTCCTGACCCGAAAAGTCAACTTCCCTGCTCCTCTGCTGCTGCCTGGCCTGCTGTGTTCCTTTAGCTCCACACTGTGTTATCTCTGACTCCAGTATCTGCAGTTCTGACTATCCTGAGAAGTTACATGACACCAGGTTATAGTCCAACAGTTTTACTTGAAATCTCAAGCTTTCGGAGCATAGCCCCTTCGTCAGGTGAAGTGAGAGAAAAGCACACGGACACAGAATTTCTAGGCAAAGGGAGATTAAGGGGCAGAGAGATCAAAAGACCATACAAATAGTGAGAGTCGAGTGTGGAATGATAAGTCGCTGTAGGTGACCCGAAGTGTCAGACGCTGTGAGTAAAGTGTCATCAGCTGAATAACAAGTGACAGGATGACCTATAATCCGACTATGGGGCAGAGAGATAATTACAAAAAATTAAAAATGAGGTGCTGGAGACAAACTAAATGACTGGAACATGATAGGTATAAGAATCGCATGCCAAGGGGCTAACCAAAGTCATAATTAATCCAAAACTGCATAAATGAATTAAGGTAGAGAGATCATAACAATTTATCCAGGTGATGGTGATAAAACAGGACAATAAGAAAGATTTTACAGATACACAATGGTGTGGTGGGGTCACATGCGATGAGCATCTCGCCAAGATCATCCCTATGCCTCCACTTCTTGCCTTTAAACAACTGCCAAACCTTAGACAAACCATTGTTCGCAGCAAACTACCCAGCCTTTAGGAGAACATCGACCACAACTTCTGCAAGACATGTCAGATCATTGACATGAATTCTGCCCTCACGCATGGGAACAGCACACCCCAGGCACACAGCAGATACTCATGTGACTCAGCCAATGTTGTCTGTCTCCTATGCTGCAGACAAGGATGCCCCGAGGCATAGTATATTGGCGAGACCATGCAGACACTGCGGCAACAGATGAATGGACACTGCGCAACAATTGCCAGACAGGAATGTTCCCTCCCAGTGGAGGAACACTTCAGCGGTCAAGGCCGTTCAGCCTCTGATCTTCAGGTAAGTGTCCTCCAAGGTATCTTTTGGCATATACAACACAATCGCCAAGCAGAAACTGATAGCCAAGTTCCATACCCCATGAAGACAGCCTCAACCGTGATCTTGTGTTCATGTTGTGATACGTGTCACCCCACCTCACTGTACTTTATCTGTAAAATCTTCCTTACTGTCCTATTTTGCCCTTTGATTTGTCTCCAGCACTATCTTCTTAAATTTTTTGAGAGATTTAAAAGAGACCCGAGGGCAACATTTTCACACAGAGGGGTGGTGCGTGTATGGAATGAGCTGCTAGAGGAAGTGGTGGAGGCTGGTACAATTACAGCATTTAAAAGGCATCTGGATGGGGACATGAATAGCAAGGGTTTCGAGGGATATGGGCCAAATGCTGGCAAATGGGACTGGATTACTTTATGATATCTTGTCAGTATGGACGAGTTGGACCGAAGGGTCTGTTTCCGTGCTGTATAGCACGGGTCTCTGTGGTGGAAGCCTTGGCCTGTACCTGAGCATGGAGCCAGAGTAGCTACTATCAGCCATGGTAGTAGAGCAGATGTTGGCCTTAACCCGGTCTTGCTTACACCCCCTAATCCTGGCTGTGTCCTGGGCCGTGCACTGCCTTTTCTGATCGGGCCGTCTCTGATCCTGCAGTTCCCTCAGCGGTGCTGGATATTCCAGTATAAATCAGCAATCACAACTCATTAGGAATTAAAACCTTAACAGCTTCATCTCAAAACGTGATATCAATCCACCATTTCGAGAAAACCACTTGCCCTTTCCAAGAATTGTTCCATTGCTGCAGACCATCAAATTCGCATTGCTGGGCTCCGATTCACTAAATGGATAATGCTTCTGCCCATTAATCCCTTCGGTGATTGTCGGGAAGTTTCCTGTCAGTGACAGATTACAGACTAAAGCAGTAATGTCTGCGGCAGCCTTTTTGCCTCCTGTCAGCTTCCTCCATACAGCTTGTCCTTTGTGCACCACCACTAGCACCCCCCACCCCAAACCAACCAGTATCTGCGATCTCTACACATGAACGATAAAATAAATTTGTGATGGAGGTTCCAGCACGTTCTGCATACAATAAGCCAAAGTGCTAGCAAGTTCAGGCTTTTCAGCTAGCATAGTGTGCTGACTCTCCTCTCTGGCTCACAGATTGCAAAATTCAGGGAAATGTCAACAAACTGTATCCAAAAAAAGCCTCTCTTTCGGCTTTGGCAGGGGAATTTTTTTTTACAGTTCAGGGTGCCATATTTCAGGGAGGAGGAGAAGGCACTTGAGAGAGTGTGGAAAAGATCCAGGAATACTGTTCCTGGGATGAGGACCTTCAGCGATGTGGGTAGAGAAGCCAGGGTTATTCTCTCCAGGATAGAGGAGGCGGAGAGGAACTCAGAAGGTTGAGCAGAAAGAGAAACAGAATTTATACTTGGAGTTTGACACAATTCTCCTTCAATCTGACTCCATTTCTCTTCCCACAGCTGTTTCCTGACCTGCTGAGTTTCCCCAGCACCTTCTGTTTTTATTTCAGATTCCCAGCAGGAGCAGCGTTTTGTTTCGATAAGGCCGAGACGAGATTCAATCGAAACCATCAGGGTTCTGGGCCAAGTAATGGCGCGGTGAGGGAGTGGGGGGGAGGAATCGGTAGGATGGTCAGGAAACTGATTGAAGCTGGCAATTGAAGCATCAGTGACATGAGGAGAAACCTTTCTCGCTCAGCGAGTGGGTAGAATTTGGGATGTGTTGACTCTGGAGAAGCATTCTGAGAGGAACAGGAAAAAAAAGCTGGTAAAAGTCTCAGTGTGGCAGGCAACCTCCTCCAGGAATGTCTTCAGTTCACATTCAAAAGGGACTTGGGTACTTATTGGAAAAGCAAAGGAGCATAGAGGTGGAAGGGGTATTGGACTGGGTGAGGCGCTCTGGGAGGGGTTCAGCAAGGTCCGAGTGGCCTCCTCCTTTGTCCTTTAAATTGGCGAATGTAGTTGTATTGGAGGCTGTTTGCAGGAGGTTCACTGGGTTGGTTCTAGAGGTGAGGTCTGTGTCTTACCGAGAGTGATTGAGCAGCTAAGGCCGACACGCTAGAGCTCAGAAGGATGAGGAGATCTAATTGAGGCGTATGAGATGCCAAAGAAGATTGACAAAGTACATGTAGAAAGGATGTTTCCTTAAGTGGGGCAATCTAGAATGAGAGGTCATGGCTTTAGGATAAGGGGCAGCAGATTTAAAACAGATGAAATGAAATTACTTCTCCTGAAGGATTGTGAATCTGTGCAATTTGCTACCCAATGGGCTAGATGTTGGGACATTGAGTAAATTTGAGGAGGAACTAGAACTGTAATTAGTTATAGGGAGTAGGCAGGAAAGTGAAGCTGGGCTATGATGAGATCAGCCAATGATCCTATTTGAATGGTGGAGCAGGCTCAAGGGGCTGCATGGCCTTCCATACCCTATGACCTTTACCCTTGGAAGTTAAAGCACTCTCTCTTCCTTTAAGAAATTCCACTGAACCAGCCTCTTTGACGAAGGTTTAGGTCCGCTGTCCCAAACTGCAGTTTCGTGTCAAACATGACGGATGATGACATGAGGAAAGCTAGGTTTTGTCGCTGAGTTGAAGATGCTAAATTAATGCATGGCATTGTCACTGCTTTGTATTCAGTTAGGGACCTGGCGCTGTGAGGCAGCATTGCTGGCCACTGTGCCGCCAAATTCCAAGAGATTCCAATTAATTTCCAGTTCCGAGCAAGTGAATGAATAACCACTGCATCATTTTCTAATGGTGTAGTTTGGAGGAGTAAGGCAGGCCAAGACCCACCAAAATACCTTGCTCCTTTCGAAAAGATGAGAGGGCAACATCCCACAAGAGAGGGGCGTAGGGGCTGGAGGAGGGAACAAGAGATGAGGAGTGCTAACAGTCGGTTGGTAATCCTTATTGATTTTTAAAAAAAAATCCTTTTGAGTCAGTGCCCCAAGATCAGCCATAATTGGTAGAACGGGCTAGCAGGGCTGAATGGCCTCCTATTCAATTAGTCCTTTTCTATCCCCCAGGACTACGCCTGTCCCGGCTCACCTAGGAGGTATGCGTGCTGGCTTTGGGTGACCCACAAAGCTTTCTTTGTGAAGAGCCAGAAAGAAATTCAAACGGCTACCAGGCAGTGGCTGGTCCTGGGTGCGAGGGGCTGAATGGCCTCCCGCGAGAAGGCGGAATGGCCGATTCCCCGAGTCACGTGCAATACGCAGGAGCCAATGGCTGAGCAGTCGTCTTGCCCCAGAGGCTTGCTTCCGCTTTCGTGAAAGTGACGCATGGTGGGGGAAATCCCCTCCATTCATCCGATACAACGCTGCTGCGTCACACAGGGGTAACGTTACAACGCGTTCTGAGGGGGAAGCCCACCAGCCTCCTACCTCTCCATCCAGGTAAATATTTCCCCGTGACTGGAGGACCACCGAGGCAGAACTTAACAACAGGCTCTGATCGAACTTCAGCGACTATTCAGGAACTAGCCCTTCGTCTCTGTAGGAGTTAGTTGCTACCCACTCTTTTTTCCCCCCCCCACCCACTTTTTTTTCTCCCCCTTTCACCGTGCACATCCCGAAAGTGCGAAGGTCTCACTCCTCAGGGAATCTGCCCTCTGCTCAGTTGGCAAATGTGTCTAAGAGACGGTGAACCTTGATATGGCTCGGATGCTCAACTGCAAGGGGCATCGCCCCCATCTTGAACTGTGCCCTTCTTTCGCTGGCATCTATCAAGTGGGCACCGGGGTTGAGTTGGAGCACCCCACGCACCCTTCCCAACAAATGCCCACTTCACTCAGATTTTCTTTTTCCACGATGCCACTTCCCTAACAACTCGGTGCCGCTGAGGGTCATTGAATCTCCTGGTTCCTCCCTCTTTTGCCATTCCAACAAGCAGCAAGCTACCTCAAAATCAAGGATTGAGTCCAACCCTGTTCCGATGACCAGTACCGGGGATTGTTGTGCCAATCTGTTGGCAGGGAACACACCACTTTTGGGTAAAGCAAAGTAATTGGAGAGAATTCTCAAAGTCAAGGTGTTAGCCTGGTTTGCCTGGGGGTGGAATAGAAAGGGATTGCCTCCACCACAAGTGACCCATGGGGTAGATAAGACCAACTGGACTCACAAAGAGGTGAAGGATCCCTGAAGTGTGAGTGTTAACAGAAAGAGGGAAGAGGTGTAGTTTTGCCTGCTATTTTTAGTCATGTAGCACAGAAACAGTCCAATTTGTCCATACTGATCATAATCCCAAACCAAACCAGTCCCATCTGCCTGCGCTTGGCCCATATCCCTCCAAACATTTCTTAGTCATGTACTTATCTAAATGTCTTTTAAATGTTGCAACTGTTACTCACAACCTACACTTCCTCTGGCAGTTAATTCCCACACACGAACCACCCTCTGTGTTTGAAACAAAAATTGCCCCTCTCGTCTTTTTTAAATCTTTCTCCTCTCGCCTTAAAAGTATGCCTCCTGGTCTTGAAATCCCCCACCCAAAGCATATAGATAAGGTGAATGGTCGGTGTCTTTCCCCCCTAATGATTTTATAAACCTCTATAAGGTCAACGCTCATCTTTCTACACTTCAGTGAAAAAAGTCCCAGCCTATCCCTATAACACAAACACCACCCCCCAACCCCTATTCCCAGCAACATCCTGGTAAATCTCTTCTAAACTCTCTCCAGGTGAGTAATATCCTTCCTATAACAGGGTGACCAGAACTGTCTCCTGCACACCGAGTGGACACCGCTGTGTGTACGTGCTGCCCGTGAGGGTAGTAGAGGCCGTGGTGTTGAATGATTTGCAGAGATCAGATGGGCACTTAAAGGACATACAACATGCAGGGGTCACGGGAGCGTGTGAATGAGGTGAATGGGACCGACTGGATCAATGCCCGGAGGTCCAACACAGAGAAGACGGGCCAAATGGCCTCCTCCTGCACTGTCATCACTCCTTGGCCAATTGCGCCCAAAAAATGGTGGCTGCAATGCCAACAATACTGCGTCCAGCTTTGTTGGCCGTGAATGGGGAATGGAACAGCCTAAGGTTGTGGCCAGTTGCTATATCAATGCAAATTCTGTCTCCCTTTTGCAGCGTCCCCGCCAGCTCTTCCGTCAAAGGTTCAGGCATGGACCTGGACGTCTCCCTCATGGTCCAATGTCCGTTCGCGGGGGGGCTGACCCAAGAGCGCGTCCATGTGGAGATTTCTGCCGAGTACAACCGCCGGGTCCTCCTCAGCCATGAGCAGAAGATCGCCGACATCTGGCGGCAGAGGAAGCAGGAGAAGCCCTGGCTGTTCAACGGGGCCAAGTTCCGCATTCACTCGGCCCAGCTCGAGAGCGGGGGGCTGCTGCTGAGGCTCGGCCTGACCTGCTACAAGGACTACCTGGGCACAAACTGGGCGCCCGAGGCCCGGCTGCTGCAGGAGCAGGGCACAGCAGACTTTGGCGACAGCCAGGCCTACTTGGCAGAGCCCCTGGGGGTTGGAGCAATGCTTCACACAGCTGATGACTGCTTTGTGTTCCTGAGGAGGAGTGAGCAAGTTGCTGAGGCCGCAGCACAGGTGGACATTCCAGGAGGACACCCAGAACCCAAGGTTTGTTCCTCAAACAAAAAATCGCTGAAGCAGGCCATTCAGCCCAACAGTCAGTGCTGTTCTCCCATTCTATCTACATCACCTCTGCCTTTCAAGACCACTTTGTATCCCCTTGTGTTCAGTTTACTTTCAGAAGCAGCAAGGTGCTCCTTCCTCGAGTCATCGCTCTGCCTCATCTCCTCCATGCGGGTGGGGGACGGTGGTGCACTCTGGGTGGTGCACCAGGAAGGCATTCAGCCTGAAATTCCAAAAGATTATTGATCAAGTGGCCTCGGGGAAAAGAGGGTCGAAAATGGTAAGGGGCTTTCTGACAGGGTAGAGAGGGGCGACACTCCCAGTGGCAGGAGGGTTGGGAATGAGCGGGGAGATGGATCCAAGGCTGAGAGGGGGAGATGAGGGGATTGTTTTAACACAGCGGTATTCTGCGATGTTTGAAAGGACAGGAGAAGCACGTTCAATAGGAAGTAGAGCTGGATAAATACTGGGAAAGGTTCCGTTTGCAGCACTGTTGGGGAAGAACGAGGGAAGGGCAGTGCGCGTGAATGAGGAGCAGGAGCAAACCATTCAGCCCCTTTATGGAGGCTGCTGCATCATTCAATAAGCTCATGACAGTGTCCTCTAACCACTTTTCTGACGACCCCTGTATGAAAGCCCCCTGCCTGGTATTGGAATCATGTGACGGGCAGGGGTACTAACCTGTATACTGATACAGTACGAATTGGAGAGCTCCTCCAGGACGGGCATGAAGGGGCTGAATGGCCTCCTCCAGCGTCGTATTTTGAGCCGTTCACGCCAGCCTCTGCCATCACCCTCAACGTGAGGTCTCCACACTCTCTCCTTACAGGCAGCTGCGAAAGGAATTCCGGAAGATACCATTCAAGTGGAACACTTGTCGGGGGAGCTGGTTGTTCAGGAAATATTTTCCTCCATTTTGGGCGAGATCCGAGATGAGGTAAAAACAGAAGACGTTTTGAACAACGCCCTTCCCGGATTTGGTGGGTGGGGGAGGGGTCTCAGTTCCAGCAAGCTAACTCCCCCCTCTCTGACAGTGCTGACACTTCTGTGGGGCGCACATCTGTGGGGAACACTTCTATCTTTTTATGTGTTGCCCCTCAAGAGGGTACTGGTGAGCCAGCATAGGATTTCAGAGGGCTGTCAGGAACTAAGCCTGTCCCTGTGTGTGCAGAGTCACGTGAACTCATACCCAAGAGGTTACACAATTTAGACTTCTATTGAGCGGCGATTCACAAAAACATAAGAACCAGGAGCAGGAGTGGGCCATCTGGTCCCTTGAGCCTGCTCCCCCATTCAGTACGATCATGGCTGATCTTCTCATGGAGTCAGCTCCGCTCACCATAATGTAGAGTATGTAGGGTAGATTGATCTTAGGAGGATAATAGGTCGGCACAACATCGTGGGCCGAAGGGCCTGTACTGTGCTGTACTGTTCCATGTTCTATGTAACCCTTAATGTAACCCTTAATTCCTTTACTCTTCAAAAATCTATCTTTGCCTTAAAAACATTCAATGAGGTAGCCTCACTGGACAGGGTGAAGAAGTTCCTCCTCGGCTCAGTCCTAAGGCTGCTCCACGTTATTTTGAGGCTATGTCCCCTAGTTCTAGTCTCACCCACCAGTGGGAGCAACCTCCCTCTTTCTATCTTATCTATTCCCTTCATAATTTACTATGTTTCTATAAGATCCCCCCTCATTCTTCGAAATTCCAATGAGAATGGTTCCAGTCTCCTCAATCTCTCCTCATAAAGCAACCTTCTCAACTCTGGAATCAACCTAGTGAAGCTCCTCTGCACCCCCTTCCAGTGCCAGTCCATCCTTTCTCAAGGAAGGAGACCAAAACTGTACACAGTGACTCTAGGTGTGGCCTCACCAGCTCCCTATACAGCTGCAACATAACCTCCCTGTTTTTAAACTCCATCCCTCTAGCAACCTCCCTGCTTCTATCGTATCTATTCCCTTCATAATTTTATATCTTTCTATAAGATCCCTCTTCATTCTTCTAAATTACAATGAGTATGGTCCCAGTCTACTCAATTTCTCCTCAAAATCAATACCATATCCCCCACCTTCAATATGCACACCCTGCACTGCTGATGCTCAGTAGCAGCAGTGTGTACCCTTGACAAGATGCACTACAGCAACTCACCAAAGCTCCTTAGACATACGGTCTCTACTATCTAAAAGGACAAGGGCAGCAGATACTTGGGAGCACCGCCCCCTGCAAGTTCCCCTCTGAGCCACTCACCATCCTGACTTGGAAATACATCAGCTGTTCCTTCAGTGTCGCTGAGTCAAAATCCTGGAAGATGTCCCTACACTGCACTGACTGCAGCATTTTCAGGAAGGCAGCTTAGCACTGCTTCCTCAAGGGGCAATTAGTGATGGGCAATAAATACTGGGCCATGCCAGCCATATCCTAGACTTACCACAACAGTGGGGGAAAAGGTCTCCCACTGTCTCCCCCGTCAATCTCTCACCAAAATCCTGAAAATCTCCATCGAATCACTGCTCAACAGAAGTCTAAATTGTGCAACCTTTCCGTATGATCTCACATTTGATGATGGGTTCTGTTTGTTGGTGGCTCAGTGGTTAGCACTGCTGCCTCACAGCACTGGGGACCTGGGTTCGATTCCAGCCTCAGGTGACTGTCGTGTGTGGGGTGCTCAAGTTTCCTCGCACAGTCCAAAGATATGCAGGTTGGGATGGATTGGCCATGCTAAATTGCCCTGTAGTGTGGATTTGCAAGGTCAGTTAGCAGGAAAAGCGCTGACAAAAAGGTAAAAGAAGGGTTACAGGGTGTGGGGCTGGATCTGGGTGGGTTGCTCTTCAGAGGATTAGTGTGAACTTGATGGTCTGAATGGCCTTTTTCTGCACTGTAGGGATTGTATGATTAGTTTTGTAGGAGACAGGGCTTGGTATATTGGAGCACAGCAGGCCACGGTGTATGGGGATATACATCCGGGCCCAATAACCATGGCTCTTGGAGGCTTCCTGAGCTCCAGGCTGGCTGAATGACCCAGGCAGGGAACAGCACCAGGGCCCATGCTCTCACTCGCTGACCCTCAATGTAGCCGAATGTGACAGGCTGAACTGGTGTGTATTTTCTCCCTCCATTTTTGCAGGTCAATGTTCCTCTGGAAAGTTTAAGCAGACCTTTGCTGCTGGGAATCGCACGGAATCACAGAAGCGCAGGACGACCCAGTGCGGAATTTTATATCCGGTAGATTACCTTAACTTTATCGGAAGCGTGAACCTCTCTCTCTCTCTCTCGCTGTGTCTCCCCCTCCCTCTCCCTCTCTCACACTCTCTGTCTCTCCCCCACCACCCTGCACTTTTCCAAGCAAGAATATATCCTGGTATTTTGCCTGATAACTGTGTGAGAACAGGTCCAGAGCAAAATCGCACAGTATCTACAACAGGGATACAGGCTATTCAGCCATCTGCTTTGTGCTGGTATCTATTCTCCGTGTGAGCCTCCTTCTGTCATCCTGTCATTCTATTCCTTTCTCCCTTGTGCACCTTTCCCTTAACTGTATCTATAAATGTCTGGGTTAGGGGCAGGACAAGGCCCTTTGGCTCCTCGGACCTGTTTAACCATTGAATAAGTTCATGGCTGATCTGATTATGGCCTTCAATCCACAACCCCACCTACTCCCCAATAACTTTGACTCCCTTGTTGGTCAAGCATCTATTGACCCTAAACAGAAGTGGTGGATGCAGGTACAGCTACAACATTTAAAAGACATTTGGACAGGGATGTGATTAGGAAAGATTTAGAGGGATATGGGCCAAATGCAGGCAAATGGGACGAGTTTAGTTTGGGAAACTTGGCGGGGATGAGTTGGACCGAAGGGTCTGTTTTTGTGCTGTGTGACTCTATGACCCATCTCACACCGCTGTCTGGGAAAAATGTTCTGCACCCACTCTCAACTCTCCAGGAGGAACAAAATTCCTCCTCACCTCTGTATTAAGTGGGAGACCCTTTGTTCTGAAATTATGTCCCCTTCGTTCTAGGCTCTTTCACGAAAGGGAAAAACCTCACTATCCATCCTGTCAAGACCTATTAGGATCTTGTACATCTCAATAGCATCACCTATACTCTTCAAGTCAACCACTCCCTGTGGGAAGCGAATTCCATTCTCTTCCCACTCTCCTGAGTTCCTCATTAGATTTATTAGTGACTGTCCTTTTATTGTTAGATGTTCCTCTTGTTCCAGTCTTGCCTGCAAATTAGAAACGTCTGCTTCCAACCTGTCGGACCCTCTCATAATTTTAACAATCTTTTATTTGGCTAATTCAATACTAGGGGGCATATTTTTAAGGTGAGAGGAGAAAGATTTAAAAACGACATGTGGGGCAACTTCTTTTACATAGAGAGTGGTTCATGTGTGGAATGAACTTCTCGAGGAAGTAGTGGATGTTGGTACAGTTACAACGTTTAAAAGACATTTGGATAAGTACGTGAATGGGAAAGGTTTGGAGGGACATGGGCCAAGCGCAGGCAGGTGGGACTAGTTTAGTTTGGGATTATGGTCGGCATGGATTGGTTAGACTGAAGCACCTGTTTCTGTGTAGTATGACTTTATAATATCGAAATTCTGAGAACTCCCCAGGAATATCTATGGGGAAGGTGTAAACTTGAGTATAAATGAGAGAAGATTCCCTCGTGCTCTGTGAATGAGTTTAATCATTCATTAGGAGGCACAGCTCCCTGAGATATCACCTTGGTCTCATTCAGTGGAGCATCAATACCCTATTGCCTGGGTGAAGGTTCCGACTCTCCCTCAGGTACTGATTTCCCCACCTGCATAGTGGGCTGGCTTGTGTCTGCCTCCAATTTCCAATAGGATGTGGACTTGGAGGTTGCTGACCAGGCCAATATTTGTTGTACAGCCCTAATTGCCCCTCATGAGTCTCCCTCTTGAAACACCACGGTCCACATGGTGTAGGGATTCCTGGGATTTTGGCCCAGCGACATGGAAGGAATGGCAGTGTATTTCAAAGCCAGGATAGTGAGTGGCAAGGAGGGGAACTTGCAGGAGTCGGTGTTCCCATGTATCTGCTGCCCCTGCCCTTCTAGGTGGTGGGTTTGGAAGGTGCTAAGGAGACTTGGTAAATTTCTGCAATGTACCTTGTAGCACTGCTACTGAGCATCAGTTGTAGAGGGAGCGGATGCGGTGCCAATCAAGCGGGTGTTGCTTTGTCCCGAATGGTGTCGAGCTTCTTGAGTGTTGTTGGAGCTGCCCCCATCCAGGGCAATGGGAGGGTATTGCACATCAGAGTGCAAATGTACCGCCTGCATGTGGGGTTTCTCTTCCAGGTGTGAGCTGACATCGGAGGAGGTGAGGCAGCGCTATCTCATTGGAGGAGTTGAGGCCCACGAATCGACCAGCATCAGCTTTGTCCGGCAAGAGGTACGAACTTTTGGCTCAGTGGGCCATGTGAGCAGACACGTGAAACGTTTGATTAACAGGCCTTGGTCAGTGTATGTGGGGAGATTTTTATTTCTTTGCACTTGTGTGCATCCTCAGCCAGGTTGGCATTTGTTGCTCATCCCTAATTGCCCCTCCAACTGAATGTCTCACTCAGGTCAATACAAAAGGCAACTCAGAGAGAATTCTGAGAGAGTTTTCCTTCTGTAGAGGACACCAATCAACCACGTGGGTTTTTATACCAAATGAAGATGTTTTCATGGCCCAGAGAAGCATTCTGTTTCAGAATTTTAAATTTATCTGTCGTAGGATTAGAACCTCTGTCCCCAGAACATTAGTCCGACTTTCTGGATTAAAGGGCCAGTGACTTTAGCACAGCGCCACTATTTTCCCGAAGTTGGTGAGGAGGCCATTTGTCCCCTTGAAGTTGTTCTAGCATCATTCAGTTTGATCATTGCAGGTTCCAGGGATATGGTCACATTGGGGAAATATCACTGTCTGAGCTCGAGGGAGCGCCGCGCTGTCGGAGGGCCGGCGCCAAGGGAGCGCCACGCTGTCGGAGGGCGGCCGGCGCTGAGGGAGCGCCGTGCAGATGGAGGGCCGGCGCTGAGGGAGCGCTGAGCTGTCGGAGGGCCGGCGCCGAGGGTGCACTGCGCTGTCGGAGGGCCAGCGCCGAGGGAACGTTGTGCTGATGTTGCAGCTAAAACATTGAGCCCAGGCTCATTGTGTCTTGCTCGACATGTTATTAATTTGTGATTTAAAAGGGAACATTGTGCAGGGTCATGGTGGGGGTGGTTCAGTTGGATACTGTTTCAAAGAGCCAGTGATTGTCATGTCTAATTCTGATTACCTGGCCCCCCGAGAAACGATACCAATCCTTCGACCAGGTTGCCTGGACCTGTGATGTGGTCCATTATTACCTGGTTGCTGGCAGCGTTGTGCCAGGCCTTTGCCTCAGTGATTGCATTTAGAAAAGTATTTGATCACGTTGTGAGGGAACTTTGGGGCAGTGGGAGGAGTGGGCTGGCGCTATGGAAATGAAGGTCCATCTGCCTGTTTTTGCAGGATGTCCTGAAACTTGAGGAGGACGTGGAAGGCTGGCGAGAGCTGTGCCCGTCGGCCAAGGGTGCCGTCAAGCTCTACACGCTTGTGCGCCCTTCCCGGGCATCTTGATCCTGCTCCGAACAGAATTGAAACCGGAACACAAGACCATAAATACCGCACGTCCTGCTCCAGGAAGGCACAAAGGACAATGGACATTTTTCTGGGCGGTAGCAGGTGGCATCTGAACCTGTCAGTTTGTCTCTCTCTTTCTGCTTTGGTGGCCGGGGTACATTGTCTCCGCTGCTGGACCCAGCCGAGTGTTAAAGAGGCCATTCGGCCCATTGTGCCTGTTCCGGCTCTTCAGGTGAGCATCATTACCCGGCTTCAGTCTCCTGCCTTTTACCCGCCTCAAGCCCTCGCACATTATTTTTATCCAAATAATCGTCTTGAACGCCCCAATTTAAAGCTGCCCCCATCCCCATTTCCCATGACTAATGACTCGCTAAGCGGAAAAGTTCTTTCTCACGTCACCCTTGCTGCTTTCGTAAGCCACTTTACATCTACACCCTTCTCCCATTCTTGTTCCTTTTACAAGTGGGACCAGCCTCTCCCTATCGACTCTGTCCAGCGCACCCCACCACCACCCCCCCCCCCACCCCCCCCCCCCCCCGCCCCCAATGAAAACCTCTCCCAGATCTCCGTCTCTTAGCCACCTTCTCTCCAAGGAGAACAATCTCGACATCTCCAATCTACCTTTGTCGCTGAAGTTTCCCATCCCTGGAACCGTTCTTGTAAATCACTGCTGCGCGCTCTCTGGTGTGTTCCCGTCTTCTCGATAATGCAGTGCCCTCAAGGCTATACACTGGTCCAGCTGAGCTCTAAGCCGAACAGTTGGAGGAATTGGGGAACCGAAGCTTCCTCTGGCTTCCAGGCCCTGGGTTCAGATCCAGGCTCCTCTTGCGCTGGGGGCCTCTCAATTTTCTTTTTTTATTGTATCAGGCATTGTTGGCTGGGCCAGCATTTGTTGGCCATTCCTCATTGCCTCTTGGACTGAGTGGCTTGCTGGGCTATTTCACTTGCAGGGTTGCGGGTTGTGGGGAAGAGTTAAGATTCACCCATGTCTCTGGGGTTCTGGAGTCGCATGTAGGCCACATCAGGTAATGCACTTTTCCTAGAGGGAACCGGGTATAAAACTATCGAGCAATGATAGTTGTCAGTATCGAGAGTAGCTTTCAGCCCCGTGTAAGTTCCACCGGTTGCTTCGGTCGGATTCGAACAGTCTGGGCCTGTGGATTGCTAATCCAATTACCAGACTGCAGTGCCACCATTGCTGCTGCTTCGCCAGCTCTCCGAGTGCCTCACTACGGTTTGAAAAGTGCTGATGGTTTCCGCCAGCCACGTGCTGCTTCTCTGCGCTTCTGGCTAAGTGGTGGGGGGGTAGGGTCAAGGTAGCGTGGGCAGTCGGCGAATTGCTCGTGGGCAGAGCCAGCACGGAAACGACAGAGGGGCCAAATGGCTACCTCCTGCACCGGAGCTGTTCTCTGACTGCGACAGACCAAAGGGGACAGTGTGTGGTGCCAATAAATGAGGGTTGCTGGTACGTCAGGTTAGAGCTGTACACTGTGGAAGCTTCTCAACAATTAAAGGAAGATTTTGCCTTTATGTCTGACCTTTTTTATATCCCGATGGTACACTTTGAGGGTGGGCTCAGGGACACGGTTTCCACTTGACATACACTCCTTGCTCCTGACTTGTGTCAGTCCGTGGTCTACCTTCATTTCTCAGGGGGGAGGGTGCAGGTCAACCAGGCTAAAGGGTCCTGAGCTCGATTGCTGGCTCCATGGAGCTTTTGTTGACACAAGTCAGTAGAATGTTTGATGGGGAGTCGGGGGCTGATCTCTGGACACTATGGGACAATTTAGCACGGCCAATCCACCTAGCCTGCATATCTTTGGGCTGTGGGAGGAAACCCACGCAGGCACGGGGAGAATGTGCAAACTCCACACAGACAGTCGCCCGAGGCTGGAATTGAACCCAGGTCCCTGGTGCCATGAGGCAGCAGTGCTAACCACTGAGCCACCATGCCATGGGGTGAAGAACTTTCAGTACACATGTGCCCCTTCTGTGGCTCAAGGAGACAGCTCATCCCGCCCCTCCCCTCCCTTTAACCAGAGGCTGTTAAGGAGGGGCAATAAATGTATGTAGGGTGTTCAGTGGGGAAGAAATTGGAGTTGTCTGGAGTTTGAGGTGGCCCAGCGGCCAGGAAATACAACCCCTCTATCGAGGAGAGTGGATCCTGAGTACTAGGGAGCCCGGTGGGTGAATGGCGGTTGGGGGGGCAGGGGCGGAGAGGTGGGTATGGCGCCCAGAACTCCACCTGCATCCATCTGACATTTCTGCGGATTTAGGACTCTGGTAACCATGGCAACAGAGAACGTAGGCCGAACTAAACACGGACCTTCTGTGGGTAAGTTGGATCGGTTTGAAGGAGGATCCAGAAAACCGAAGCGTATGCTGAGCCCCAGCGAGAGGGGAGAAGTGCGGGATTTTACAGAAGACAGCGTAGGGGAGCTGGAGTGCATCCATGGCACTGTTGTGGAGCACTGCACAGGATGGAGTGTCGTCCACATCTCCCGGTGAAGGGAAACATTCCTGCCGGCTGTGTGTCTTTATCCATGACGTGTGTGTGTGTGTTTGTGCGTGTGTGTCTCTGTGTGTGTATAAAAATAGTCATACATGTGTACAACATGGAAACAGACCCCTTGGTCCAACTTGTCCTTTCCCACCAGATATCCTAAATTAATCTAGTCCCATTTGCCAGCATGTGGCCCACATCCCCCTCAACCCTTCCTATTCATGCACCCATCCAGATGCCTTTTAAATGTTGTAACTGTACCCACCTGCACCACTACTTCTGGCAGCTCCTTCCATACACGCACCACCCCCTCCGTGAAAATGTTCCCCGTTAGGTCCCTTTTAAATCTTTCCCTGTCACCTTAAACCTATACCTCTCTAGTTTTGGACTCCCCCATCCTGGGGAAAAGACCTTGACTATTCGCCCTATCCATGCCCCTCATGATTATATAAACTCTATAAGGTCACCCCTCAGCCTTCAACGCTCCAGGGAAAATAGCCTCAGCCTATTCAGCCTCTCCCTATAGTTCAAACCCTCCGACCTCGGCAACGTCCTTGTAAATCTTTTCTGAACCCTTTCAAGTTTCATAACTTCTTTCCTATAGCAAAGAGACTAGAATTGCATGCAGTATTCCAAAAGTGGCCTCACCAATATCTTGTACAGCTGCAATATTCCTGTTGCACACAGGCCTCCTCTCCCCATCCCTCTCTTTGTCGCCTTCCCCACCACATTTCATTGCGCCATCTCATCCACCTTGTTCTTCTGCTCCTGTCTCCCTCAGCATAGTGGCTCAGGGACCCAGGTTCAATTCCAGCCTTGGGTGACTGTCTGTGTGGAGTTTGCATGTTCTCCCCGTCTCTGTGTTTCCTCTGGGTGCTCCGATTTCCTCCCACACAGTCCAAAGGTGTGCAGGTTAGGGTGAATATGCCATGCTACATTACACATAGTATTCAGGGATGTGCAGGCTAGGTGGGTTAGCCATAGGGAAATGCAGCATTACAGGGATAGGGTTGGGGCATGGGTCTGGGTGGGGTGCTCTTTGGAGGGTCGGTGTAGACTTGATGGGCCGAATGGCCTGCTTCCACACTATAGGGATTCTGTGATTCTATGATTAGCCAACCTCCCCTGTAAATAACAGCATTCACCTCGATCGCTCGGTGTGGAGAGTGGTTTCCACATCCTCCTGCTCTCCAGGTGAGGATGCTTTAGCTAAATTTCCATAAAACGGAGGAACAAATGTAGGCCGTTCTGCCTGCCCCACTATTCGACAAGATTGTGGGCTGTTGAAGTTTTATTTATTCATCCTAGCACTGGCTGAGTTTTATTATCTAACCTTAATTGCCCCTAGAGCAGTTAAGAATCAACCTAGTCTGGAGCGCGTAGGCCAAATCAGGTAAGCATGGCAGATTTCCCTTTGCTGAGGGGCATCCACAAACCAAATAGAACCACTGTCAATTGTCATAAAAATTTTTTTTTTATTATTTCAAATTTCACCATCTGCTAACCCCTATTCTCAAAATGTTAGACTGGCAGTCTGGATTACTTTACCAGTATGCCAGTATCTCCAGGATGGTACAGCGGTTAGCACAGCACCAGGGACCTGGGTTTGATTCCAGCCTCAGGCAACTGTCTGTGTGGAGTTTGCACATTGTCCCTGTGTCCTCCAGTTTCCTCCCACAGTCCAAAGATGTCCAGGTTAGGTGGATTTTTATTTTAATAGAATCACCACAGTGTGGAATCAGACCCTTCAGCCCAGCAAGTCCACACTGACCCTCAGAGCATCCCCCCCAGACCCATCCCCCTTGAACCCACCTAATCTACACATCCCTGGACACTACATGCAATTTAGCATGGCCAATCCACCTAGCCTGCACATCTTTGGACTGTGGGAGGAAACTCACGCAGACACAAGGGGAATTTGGAAACTCCACACAGACAGTCAGCCGAGGCTGGAATCAAACCCAAGTCCCTGGGGCTGTGAGGCAGCAATGCTAACCACTGAGCCACCCTAGTTATGGGGAAATGCTCTTCAGAGAATCCCTAGAGTGTGCAAACAGGCCCTTCAGCCCAACAACTCCACACTGACCCTCAGAACATCCCACCCAGACACAACCCCATCCCCATCGCCATCGCCATTCCTCTGTAACCCACTGAATCTACACATCCACTGAGCACTATGGGTCATTTAAGCACAGCTAATCCACCTACCCTGCACATCTTTGGACCGTGGGAGGAAACCCATGCAGACAGGGGGAGAATGTACTAACTCTACACAGACAGTCACCCGAGGGTGGAATCAAACCCAGGTCCCTGGCACCGTGAGACAGCAGTGCTAACCACTGAGCCACTGACTGGATGGTGCAGATTTGATGGGCTGAATGGGCCTCTTTCTACACTGTAGTGATTCCTACAATACTATTATTGTCAGTGACTGTCTTATATGATGGCACCTAGTTATGATATTGCTTGCAATTCGAACATCTCTGCAACTATCCCATCAGAGTCTTAAAAGCTCCCTGTCAGATCCCAGCTTTCAGTTTAAACCGAGAGAAAAGAGCTGCAGCTTGTTGATCTTTCCAAATAGTATAACCTTTCGGTTCGAGTGTCATCCTTGTTCAAGTCTGCACCTTCTCCAGTGCTTGATACATATACTGGAATATGAGCTGTGTTAATAGGTTTTTGGGGAGGGAGTTCCAGGATTTTGATCCAGTGACACTGAAAGACGGCCGATGTATTTCCAAGTCAGGAAAGTGAGTAACTTGGAAGGGAACATGCGGTGGACAGTGTTCCAATGTATCTCCTGCCTTTGTTCTTCTAGGTAAAAGTGGGCTTGGGTTTGTAAGGTGTTATCTAAGAATTTCTTGAAGATGCTACAAACTCCTGCTACTGAACATCAGTGGTGGAGGGAGTGGATGTTTGTGGTGCGAATCAAGTAGGTGTTGCTTTG